TCTATTATCTAATTATGTGAAAACTCAATTAGATTACGTTTGACCTTTAAAAATGACAACACAGTGTCCCACATCGGATTTTTACAAAAGTCCTACCTATTCATCCACCTATAAATGTATGTGTCATTTCACATAGGAAGGTACACTCTAATTTGGCAATTAATTACTATTATTTGCTTATATTAATACATCTTCTGACTTGAGCGTCGGAGGATAATCGTCGGGCCAAACCTGGCGTGTCATCTAGTGTTTCAATTGTTTTGTAGGTGAACGAACGGAGTAGTCCCTTCGACTACCTCGGACATGTGGCAGTGACTCACGGCATTCTCTATTTTTGTGGGCTCAAGGACTCTTGGGTTGCCCAATTTGCATTTGAGCAGCATCATTTTGGCGCCGTCTGTGGGAATGCAAACTCGATCACGTGACACGGGCGGAGATGGTCAAGGTAATCTCAATTCGCCTCAACAAGGAGCCGGCGTCGGGATCCCGGATCCGCCTCGAAGAAAGCGGACGGCAGGAGGAACCAGCACTGCGGGACCTTCAGTGCCGATCATCCAGATGACGGCGGAAGAATTGCAAGCCATGATGGACGAGACCGCGGCCAAGGCAGCAGCTTGGGCAGCAGCGGACGCAGTAGCCCAACACATCAGCGCTCAGGGCCATAGTGATTTCGAAGAGCCGATTCTGTCAGAAAGCGATCCCACGGATCCCGCTCACGTCCATGTGACTCCGCCCATCATAGAACTCCACGACTCTGAGGAAAGGGTGTCGTTCAGGGACCGAAGCCTTTCTTCAGAACGGGCCCCTCGAAGGTATGCTCAGCCCGAATCGCATCAGCATAGCTCAGCCTCAGACCGGGCCCCTCGAAGAGAAGCACGTGGTCGATCACCACGCCCCCTAAAGCAACTTGCTCCCTCTAGGGAGAAAGCGACGCGAGACCGCCGAGAGAGAAGTGGATCTTCTCGGCCGGGTGTCCTACGCCATGAGCCTCGAGACGATAGACATCGAGGACGTTCCTTTCGCCAAGGCGACTCCCCCCAAGACGAGTATGGAAGTAGATACTCTCAACCTGAAGAGACGAGAAGGCGTCGCGAGAATTCTAACGATCGTAATCCAAGAAGCCCACAGCGAGGAACTTCGAGATCAACAACCGCTCGCTTTGGAACGCTCCCCGCCCGAATAAGCCCCTTTATTCCGGCCATTATGGGGGAAGTTTTACCGCTCGGATTTAGGATCTCCAATCTGCCCCAATTCGATGGAACAGGAGATCCCCAGAATCACCTTAACAAATTCTTCGCTAAGATCGACCTTTACGGCCTCAGCGACGCCGCCTACTGCAAAATTTTCCAAACTACCTTAACTGATCAAGCACAAACTTGGTTCAACGGTCTACCTGGAGGATCCTTGGATGGTCTAAGCCAACTATCAGAACGCTTCCTTAGCCAGTATTCCATCAACAAGAGATACGCCAAAACCGGATCATACCTCTTCAAAGTCAAACAGCGCGAAGGAGAACCGTTAAGGGATTATGTACAACGGTTCGTCAAAGTTGTACACGAGGTGCCCAATGTTAACCACGATCTGCTAGCCGATATACTGCAACATAACTTGAAGCATGTTCGCTTCCAAGAATCCATCGCAGGCCGACCCCCGCAAACTCTGGAGGAACTTCTGAACCGCGCGGAGAAATTTATCCGGATAGAGGAGGCTGTAGAGATGGGGCTCCTCGTGAAGAGGAGGCGCGAAGAAGAACGCCATGATACAAAAAGGAGAGAAGAAGGACGCTCGAACCACGCCCCTACCTATCCAAAGTTCACCCCCTTAAAAGCAAAACTCATGGATGTGTGGATGGTAGCGGAGCATAAAGGTTTAGTCCAACCCCCGAGACAGATGAAAGAGAATTCGAAAAGGCAAAAATCAGAAAAATACTGCGAATACCATCGAGATCGGGGCCACACTACCGACGAATGCTTTCAACTTAAGCAGGAAATCGAGAGACTGATTAAGAAAGGACACCTGGGAGAATTCGTCGATACCCCGCGACACCAGAAATTCAAAAATAAACCCCACTTCCAGCAGAAAGGAGAACATCCCAACGCTCGAAAAGATCGGGAGGATGACAATCTTCCGACTCAAGGAATAATTGCAGTCATTTCCGGAGGACCCTCGAGTGGTGATACCCCCAGCGCACGACGCGCGTCAATGCGGGCTGCAGGAGGATCGTACTCTACGACAGAACGTCCGGCAGGACATGTTTACCATGTTCATCACCCAAACCCAGAGATTACATTTAGCGACGACGATCTCGAGGGACCACGTGGTGAACACAACGATGCGTTGGTCATTTCAGCATCAATTTCCAATTACATGGTGAAGAAGATTTTGGTAGACGGCGGTAGCTCGGCTGATATTATATATTACGGCGCTTTCAAAAAGCTAGGGATAGCCAATGCGAAACTCGCGCCCGTGAAAACACCCCTAGTGGGTTTTGCAGGACACGCCGTCAAAGCTTTGGGAGAAATCTCCCTAGTCTTGTCTTTGGGCTCATTTCCACGTCGGGCAACAAACACGGTTAACTTCTTGGTCGTCAAGGCACCATCAACGTATAACGTAATTTTGGGGCGGCCAAGTATGAACCTCTTCAGAGCAATCCCATCAACATATTATATGAAGTTGAAATTTCCTACGACTAACGGAATTGGAGAAGCCGTAGGCGATCAACGCGTAGCTCGAGAATGTTATGCGAATACTTTGAGGGCACCTCAACTTCGGAACAAAAAGCAAGTGGGAGGAGGGGATGACCCTCCCAATTTCCTAAAGAGAAAATGGGTGATGGTTGTTAAAGACAACCTCATCACCCCCCCGACCAATCAAGAGGCCAGCGGCACGAGGTTCGCAGCAGTAGAAGAACGGAAAAGCGTAGAATTGATTCCGGCCGATCAAGATAAACTACTCTGAGTAGGAACCAGCCTTGAGCCCGAGACGGAGGCGAAACTCGTAGATTTCCTCCAAAGAAAAAGTGATAGGGAACTTGAAGAAGTATTTCGTTTAGCACCTCAGGCGTGCAACCTTTTTTTTCTCAATAATAAATCAGGAGCATATCGCTCGCTGTAATGCTTAAACTATGGAATAAGTCGGGAGCATACCGCTCGCCGCAACGCTTTAAATTATGTAATAAGTTGGCGGCATATCGCTTGCCACATAAAAATAAATAAAATGTTTTAAGTGGAGGCATAATGCCCATCCCAACCGTTCTACTTTATGTCATTTCAATTCAATATTTTATACCATTTTAATTTCATTATTATTTTTGTTATTATTATGCAGTGCTTGTTTCAAAGAGTGACCTCACGACACTCAAACAAAAAATATATCATTGATTAAAGCTAAAGGGGAAGATAGCAAGGATCATAAGTGTCTGGCCAACTCGAACTTTGTTATCTCACTCCCCAAAGCTTAAATTGATAGAGAAAACAAATTCTCAAGGACTCCGCAATGCTATATTAAGAAAAAATGGCAAAACTGCGGAGCCCCTGCATAAAAACTTAGGGGACTGATCATCCACTAAGTACCAAAAAAGCACGAAAATTGCGAAATGGGAATAAAAGAAAAATAAAATTCCATTTATAAAGCAAAAACGTGCAAATAAAAAAAATAGAAAAGACTAAAGTCTTAAATATAAGTCATAAAGGATATACTACTACTACTACTCT